AAAGAATGATGCCCAATGAAGTGGTGTTTTTCTGACTGAATCTCGTGCCATTACATCACAACCATTTCTAATTAAATACTCAGCAACATTCGTTCTTTCCATGATAATTGCACAAAGCAATGGAGTGTGTTTATTTATGTTAAGAATTTCTTTTTCTGCGCCTTTTTCAAGTAAATATTTTACTATATCGAGATGACCTTTTGTTGCAGCGCAATGCAATGGTGTATTATATCTTGTCGATTCTGATGTTGTTTTAGCATTAATATTAGCATTAAATTGACTCAAAAGTTTGACTACAGATAAATGACCAGCTAATGATGCTTCATGCAATGGATTAACAAATTCGTGTGAAATTCCATTGATTTTAACTTTTGTTGTTGTTAATAAATTGTAAACGAGATCAACGTCACCATTTTCAGCTGCTTTACATAAGCGTTTTGTAAGATCAATATTTTCTGTTAGTAATTCAATAATTTCTCTGTGATTCTGTCGAATAGCCAAATCTATTGGAGTTTCTTCGTTCGATGAATAATTTTTAATAAATGGACATGCACCATAACTTAAGAGTAGATTGATACATTCAATGTTTTTTGTTTCTCCTACTGCATAATGTAATGCTGTATCGCCATCTTCATCTTGTTGATTAACATTGATACCAGCTTCAAGCAACAATTTTAACATCTCCATAAAATTATAGAATACGGCACAATGTATTGCACCTTGAGGTACTATTGGATTGTTTAAATCACCTCCACGCTTGATATATTGATTCACCCAATTAATGTCATTGTCTCTAACACTTTTAATATAGCTTTTCCAATCGTTTCTTTCGATATGTCCATGAGAAATTGGCAAGAGCATAGAAAAAGACATTGTTTCATCTAAAAATATATGATAAATTCATAATAATTTATTTTTTAATTTTATAATGACATCTTACTAGTGTTTGTTGTATGATCGCTACGTTGAACAATTGACTCAGAAGGTTCTTCTGGTAAGTTTCGACGAGTTTGATCCGAGCTCATCTACAATTGGGAATCAACTGACGTAAGCAATATAGCAGTCTTTCAATATGAAATATTTTTATAGGTCCAATTAATATGAGTTTAAAAGCAATGAGAGATCTTGTTTGATCTATGTAAGATGTCGATGACAACCAATAAACGAATAACGGTACATATGAGTACGAGTTACAAAGAAACGAGCAAGTTTGACTCGAACGAACTGCTTCGTCACCTATGCTTGCTGATTACATTTTTTTTCACTTGTGAAAATATTGTCATGCGACCAAAAAGAACAGCGAAATTGCCAACATGACAGCTGCGCAATGAGTAATATCTCTAAATGACATTGAAAAAACACTAAAAGATTTTTTGTTCTCTGTCTATTCAGGACGTATAGAAATGAAATTAATAAATATTTACCTTTTAGATTTATTGTAATTGTTGATTGTTAAATAGTTATACAACAGAAATTGTGTCTCGGCTGAATCATCATTGCATGACAACTGTAAGGATTTAAAAGCATTTTTCTAATTTTGTCGTGCAGATTAAATTACTCCGATTTGGAAAATCATAGCAAATAGAACAGTAAATTTCATAATATTGCTTGGTAGATACAAGTACGAAAGTTAAAGAATGATATACATACACATTCAAAAAGATCGATAATTATTTCAAGAGAACTAGATGAACCATAAATTTTGTTCAGAAAAATAGATCGTCATCGATCTTGAACTCTAAATCTGTCGGAGATTCTCTATATCATACAATATGAAGAAATCTTAACATCCTCACACCCAACTTCAATCTTTCTAAGCATAAATTTCAACATATTAGAACAAAATTTTCATATTTTTTTAGGCAGCAGTGATTTATATTGGTATTGGTTTCTTTTAACTATTTTCTACTTCTATACAGGTTTCATATCTAATATCTTTATGGCTACATCAGTCTAATATTTATCTATACTTGTTTATTTTTGTACAAATTTTAATTGCATTTTCTAACATTTTGCTAATTTTATTTGCTGTTAATTCCATGCGTTTGATACCAAATGATTAGGCCACCGATAATGATGGATTAGACAGCCAATATCTGATGATGAATTTGGCTTAGTCCAAAGCATTTATTACTTCAATCATCGCAAGGGTGATCTAGTTGAAAAAATACTTTTCCGTCGAGTTCATCGGGACTAAATGTCAGAGCTAATAGAAATAACACTTGTTGTTCAGAACCGCTGAGTAATGAGCAATTCTAATAGTCACGATAGCGTCGTACATCTTGATCATTGTATTAATCGACATGAAACACACACTGTAGATAATACATCAGTCGAAACATATCATTATTAGGAACGGTTAGTCAGGAACTGGTTGATTTCAAACTGTATTCATTATTGACGAGGTAAATCATCTATGTACTTCTGATGAACAGCCAATTTCTTTTTGACAATGAAGAATAGTAAAATAGAATTCAGCTTTAATATTTTTTCGATTAGTTGGAAAATGTTTAGGGGTTCTTTTAGTGTCTAGGAACAGAAGTAACGATGAAGAGATAAGAAAAATAAAATAACCACTCTTGGTTCAATCGAAAATGACATTGTTTGGATTGATGTGTGCTCTCGACCAAAAATCTCAGCGTAGTATGTAAATAACTTGAATCGTTCTTCAAAAGATAAAACTTTTTATTGACATATTTCAAGTATATCAGAGACAATGAAAATATTGACAATGTGAAGAAAGAAAATTTCAAATGTTGAATGTGCTTCATTTGTGCAAACATTTCATGATATCATTTTTCGGTTTTATGACTATCTTCTTCACTCATATATGAATATATGTAATAATCCTTTTTGAATTTTGTCCATACTGATAAATGATAAACTTTTGGAATGTAGATGTTGCATACAAAATCATAGTATTTCATGTTTTGAATACAACAAACTCAGATATTAAAAGTACGTCAATATTTTATGTTCGTACAGGATTTGATTAGCTTTTCTTACTATACATTAGAAAAACTTTGATATAGTATTGCTTCCAAAACAAATCTAGAAAAACACTATAAATAATACCTTTCTTTATAATCATCTCAGTATCGAATATGTACTCATTATTGTGACTGTGAAAATCAAAACATCATTACACAATTAGTTTCACATGGTAAATGGTATTTCATCCACTCCAATAACCCGTCGACCTAGTTTTGGTATCAATTGTTCACATACAAACATGTCAGAGCAACACGCATGCAATTTTGAATATTTAAATACATAATGACCGATGAGTAAAAGTATCAAATGCTTCACACTGAAAGAATATATTATCGATCGCCTTTTACTGCAGTTGTGAATCAAGTTGATGGAAAGATACATTTATTAATCGATCATACAGTTATCGATGTTAACTGATAATATACTAGCATATTCTTCCGAATTTTTTGAAGAAACATAAATTGATAGAAAGATTTCGAATATTAGAAAATTCTATGACAGAAAGACGATCTGTAGATAAGGAATAAGTCTACAAAAAAATATTTCATTCATTCGAATTGAAAACCGACAAAACATTAGGACATAGTGTAAAGAACAATGGATCTATAATTTTCATTAGATACTATATGATAACAATGAATAGGTCATTCGTGTTTTTCAAAGGTAAAATTCGGTACAAAACGAATCAATCGATTTCTCAAGATATTTCTTGTTGTCTCTTTTGGCGATCAGTTCAATAAGTATTCTAAGATGAAAACTTTCAATAGTAGCAAATAATTGTCTATTAATCATTTCCATCGATATTCATGGTACTCAATATAGTATCAGTTAACTTTCACATGAGTCAAGTTCGACGTGACTTGTAAAATATTTTTTATGGTAGAAGATTAACAAAAGTCATCTAATTGTAATATCGTTATTGACATGATAATAGGTAGCTTCTGCTTATAACTATTATTCAATTTCTACAGCAGTAGATGAATTTATTGAAGATTAGGTGTTCTCTGAAAAACAAAATCAATCATTCGACTCGGTTCAAACGCTTGATATGAAATTGATGAATATTCGAGAGATCATGAGACCTTTGTCGGAGTATGAAATTTATAGCCAATATCTTAACGACAATAAGTCAATCTGAATAAATTCCACATTGAATAAGAAAAATCAACAAAATTGTTTATCTTCTGAGGAATATTCAATCATATTGAAATAGGTGAAATGAGCACGTTGATGCTATTCTAGCATTCGATTTGTTAATGTCTCGGTATTATAAAGGTAAATTAATGAAAGTGATTGAGTGTTGGTCAAGAAATATATTCTCTTTACTTTTTTTTTTATAGCGCAATAAGCCTTAAGTTGCCACATTTTGTTACAATACTATGTGTCTTTTATCTTTTCCATTCTATTTGAGGATTCATTAAAAATATTTTATTTCAACGCCTCAAGATTTAATTAGTTTTTACATAACTCAGGTACAAATTAAAGTACTCTTTCAAACCATGCCACCTAATTTGGTTTATGAAAATAAACATTTTTTGTATGTATATACATAAGGGGAACCTAAAATCATGTTACACCCTGTATATACCTCTTGTTAAGGCAACAATAATCTATAATAAAATTATAAATAAAGGATTGTTCTAAAAAAAAGTATACTCTTTCGTCTATGATTTATGTCAAAGTTTGTTATTTATATACTTTATTCAATTTTTATTATAACAAACAATAAAGTATTTATTCACAATAGTAGAAATCAAACATTTATTTTATTTATAGACAATATTAGACATATTGTGACAATAATATATGAGATGACTTTCTCAAGAAAAACATGATTGTGAATAATAAAAAAAGTAAAGGATATATATTCGATTTATTATTAAGAAGAACGATTCATTCGATAATGACGCATTTTCACGAGAGTGCAACTAACCGTATCATACTTGTTTACAAAGAGAAGATTGAATCATTATTCAGTCGATTATATTCATTTGTTTAATAAAAAAATGGATTCAAACATTCAATGGTATTTCAATCCATACGATCAAGTACAACCATTAAGACAAAACGAAAATCCACAACAATATCAACCAGTTAGTATCATTTTATTATATTATATTATGTTTTTTCAAGCTTTAATTCTAGATACCTGTTGTTAGTCAACCACCTTCTAATCGTGTATGTGAGGATATTCCATATCCTATTGTACATAAACTTCTTTTGAATGATCTCTTTGATTTTGGATATGAAGGTGCACCAAATATAGATCGACTTGTGTATCATCTCAATAATGAAGGTTTTAATCAGATTATCCAAACTCAATATAAAACTTTCTGTTTTCTAAGGTCGTCTTGCTGAAGAAACTTGGCGTCATCTTCTATCTCAAGCCAAAATAATATTTTGTCAAGAACCTAACATAATATTTCTTCCACGTGGTTGTACTATTGTTGGAGATATTCATGGACAATATTATGATCTTTTGACAATATTCGAGTTAGGTGGTCCATTGGA